TATACATCAACTCAACAACTAAATGAGGAAGCATGCAAATCCTCATTGTTTTTTAGGTGTAAAAGCAGACAATCAATCAACGCGGTGCGTAACTTATGCGAACAATATGCGGAGCATTTTCGATGTGGATATGCAGTGCAGACAATCAATCAATGCGGTGCGTAACGTATGCGAATAATATGCGAAGCACTTTCTATTTTGATATGCGGTGCAGACAATCAATCAATGCGGTCCATATGGATATGCGAAAAAAATGGCGGATAGTCGTAAATTATGCGGCTTTCGATTTTGATATACGATTCATTAATTATGCGGTTGAAGACTAGGCGAATCATCCCAGTTGTGCGGTTATTATGGGATATGATATGGGAATCGCACAATCAACCCAATTGTGCGATTATTATGGGACATGTTATGCGAATCGCACAATGAACCTAATTGTGCGATTATTATGTTACATGTTATGCGAATCGCACAATCAACCTAATTGTGTGATTATTATGGGGACATGTTATGCGAAACGCAATCAACTCAATTGTGCGATTATTATGGGACATGTGTGATGTGTGCAGGTCAACCCAATTCCGATTTCGACAATTGTACCTGGATTACAAACATTTGCTTCTCATTGACCTCTTTGTATTCGTCGCCTGACTCACCATTGTGCGTGTTTGTTTGGTCATCATTATTGTCATCATCACGAGAATGGCCTGGTTGGTTCGAACAACCCGAGGTTTGATCATCAGCGCCCCGAGGATATCCAGTATGTTTAAATGAACTAGGGTCTGCTTGATGTAAATATGGGGCCTCGTGGGAAAATGCAGAATTACCAACACCAAAAGAACTCAGAAATACACCTTGGGACGTCATCATTTGCGTGAAGCTTTGTTTCGCCGTCCCCGGAATCCCTACATTTACTCGCTTCTCCAACTCCACGTAAATGTTGGGATTTCTTTGTTCTTCAATCAGCTCTAAGATATCCTCACTGGATTCGATTTTCATCTTCACAACTCGTTCCCTTCCATCAAATACTGCCCACAATATGTACTCAAAATTACAAGGATTGGCCTTCAATAATGCTTGAGCACGAGAAACTACTTCAGAATATATTAGCCGGCCGTAATTTATTCTCATCAGCTCTGCCACTCCACCAAGATATGAACCCTCGCAAAATGAACCACCAATGTGCACCAATACTCTAACACGGTTGCTAGCCATTCAAATAAGTGAACAACAAAAAGAACTAAAAAAAAAAAAGAAACAGAAAAATGCAGTAGATGAATGGTGCAGGCGTTAAATTGTTAGAGATCACTGTTTTTTTGCTTGCATGATAAATGCAGAGACCAAATCCTCACCTGTGAAAAAGCAGTCAATTAATGAGGTGCGCAACCTATGCGAAAGATCTGCGCACGAATTCCGAATAGTCGTAAAATTGCAGGTCGATATGGCCCTGCGAAAAAATGGCGCATAATCGTAAAAAAAATATGCTTTATTCGATTTGGTCAATTATCCGGAGGATATATGCGAAATTGTTTCGCATATTTAGTAAATTATGTGATTGACTTGGATATGCAATTACCAAAAAATGCGTATTCAACAAACTATGCGAATTAGATGCGAAATATTTTCGCAGTCATAAATTTTCAAGGTTAATATAGCCCTGCGAAAAGAAGGTGCATAATCATCGTAAATTATGCTGCAAATCGATTTGTATATGCGATTGCTAAAAATGCGAAAGATGTTCGCACATTTATAAATTATGCGTTTGATGTGGATATGCGATAAAAAAAATGCGAAATGTTTACGCATAGTCATAAATTATGCGGCCGATTGGATATGCGCTGGTTTCTTTGGACATGCGAGTGTAATATCGCATAGCATTTCGTAAGTTTTGGGGTGTAAAAGAAGCTATTTGATGGGGCGGTGTGAAAAAGAAAGAATAGATTTATAACGGGGTGAAAAGATTTTGACCCAACTACTAAATGTAGAGTCCTGAGTAGGAAGCAGATTCCAAATAACCGAAGATATACTCCACAGTTTAATTGCCCTAGAGAAGTTAAAGAAAACATGATTCACTGTCTCAGAGCCTTCTCCACAAATACTGCATATGACATCTAGATTCAAGCCTCTCTTTTTAAGATTTGTTTTGACTAGTAGAGCTCCAGAGATACATTTCAAATGAAAAGTTTAATTTTTCCTACCACATTCAGCTTTCAAAGTCTCTGTCTCAGTTTGGTTAAAGGTGGGCCAATCATATAACTACTACCAGGATGATCTAGAGATTGCACCTTATAAAACAACACGTTGAACGTAAAAATTAATTATGCTAATCGATCGAATAATATTAGGTGGTTAAATGTCGAATTTAGTGTTTTTAAATTAACAAAATAACCGAACATGTCGAATTATATGAAAAATATCACCGATTTTTTTTTTTATTTATATATATTTTATGGAAAATAATACTACTTATTATTTATACTAGTATGAATCCCGTGCGATGCACGGGAAAGAGATGTTCATTAATATCTATAAATTAAAATTTGCTCATTAAATAAAATTAGTTTATATTAAAAATGTTATATAAAATTTAAATTGTCCAAAATTACCTGAAACATATTTAGTTAAAATTAGTATAGATCATGTAACAGATAATAAGTTATATTACATTCCTTTCAAAATAAGTGTCATATTCAAATTTTATTCATATATTCGATTTGAACGCACTGTAATTCCATAAAATAATTATTTTTTGGTAAAATTTTATCATATATGTAAAAAACATATGTGTATAATAAATATAATTATAAAAATTATATGGTTTTATTAATTAAAATTAATTTGCTTTTCTATAAACTATCCCAATCAAAAGAAATTAAGTAGTTAAGTAATTTAGTAAACTAAAAATAATTAACTATTCTATTTACATCCTATTATAAAAAAAAAAAAAAAAAAA